ATGACCCCAATTAACCCCTGCAGGTGCAGAACATCTCCCAGTCCATGGAGGTGCTGGACCTGCGGATCCCGGGGTGTTCATTAACCCAAATAATTCCCCAATTACCCCATTAATGACCCCAATTAACCCCACTAATGACCCCAATTAACCCAATTAATGACCCCAATTAACCCCTGCAGGTGCAGAACATCTCCCAGTCCATGGAGGTGCTGGACCTGCGGATCCTGGGGTGTTCATTAACCCAAATAATTCCCTCAATAACCCCACTAATGACCCCAATTAACCCCACTAATGACTGTAATTAACCCCACTAATGACTGTAATTAACCCAATTACCATCCCCAATTAACCCCTGCAGGTGCAGAACATCTCGCAGTCCATGGAGGTGCTGGACCTGCGGATCCTGGGGTGTTCATTAACTCCATTAACTCTCCAATTAACCCAAATAATTCCCCAATTACCCCATTAATGACCGTAATTAACCCCACTAATGACTGTAATTAACCCAATTACCGACCCCAATTAACCCCTGCAGGTGCAGAACATCTCCCAGTCCATGGAGGTGCTGGACCTGCGCACCTTCCGGGACCTGCAGTACGTGCGGAACACGGAGGCGATGATGAAGGGCCTGGACTCGCGGCTCCGCGTGGCCTCTGAGAGCCACAAATCCCTCAATTCCCGCAGCTTCCAGGTGCCAAATTCCCGCTTTTCCCGCTTTTCCCATCCCCCCCAAAATCCCTTTTTCCCAACCTTTTTTATTCCCAGTTTTTTCCTGGAATTTCAGGATTTTTTCCGGATTTTTTCTGAATTTTTTTGGGTTTTTTTTCCTCTCCCGTCGGTTTTTCTTTTATTCCCTGATTTCTTTTCTTATTCCCTGATTTCTTTTCTTATTCCCTGATTGATTCTTTTATTCCCTGATTGATTCTTTTATTCCCTGATTGATTTTTTTATTCCCTGATTTCTTTTTTTATTCCCTGATTTATTTTCTTATTCCCTGATTGATTCTTTAATTCCCTGATTGATTTTTTTATTCCCTGATTGATTCTTTTATTCCCTGATTGATTCTTTTATTCCCTGATTGATTCTTTTATTCCCTGATTTATTTTTTTATTCCCTGATTTATTCCCCCCCCATTCCCATTTTTTTCACGGAATTCCAGGATTTTTTTCTGTTTTTTTTCCGGTTTTTTTCCTCTCCCTTCTCCATTTTCCTTTTATTCCCCAATTAATTTTCTTATTCCCTGATTGATTTTTTTATTCCCTGATTTATTCTTTTATTCCCTGATTTATTCCCCCCCATTCCCATTTTTTCCTGGAATTTCAGGATTTTTTTTTCCAGATTTTTTTCCCAGGGATCAGAAAAAGCAAAACCTCAAATCCCAAGGGATTCCAGAACCAAATTTTCCCCATTTTTTCCCCCCCAACATCCAAAACCAAACCCCAAAATTTCACTTTTTCCCCCGGAATTTTTCCCAAAAACCAAAAACTCAAATCCCAGGCGATTCCAGGACCAAATTTTCCCCAGATTTTTTTTTTCAGGATCTCCAGGAGAATCCTGAAATTTCAGGACCATTTTTCCCCAAAATCAGAAGAAACAAAACCCAAAAAATTTTGGGATTTCAGGACCATTTTTCCTGGAATTTTTCCCTTGGATCCAAAGGAACAAAACACAAAATTTGGGATTCCAGACCCATTTTTCCCAGATTTTTTCCCCCAGGATCAGAGAAACCAAAAACTCAAATCCCAAGGGATTCCAAAACCAAATTTTCCCCATTTTTCCCCCCCAGCCTCCAAAACCAAACCCCAAAATTTCACTTTTTTCCCCGGAATTTTTCCCAAAAACCAAAACCTCAAATCCCAGGCGATTCCAGAACCAAATTTTCCCGGTTTTTTTTCAGGATCTCCAGGAGAATCCTGAAATTTCAGGACCATTTTTCCCCAAAATCAGAAGAAACAAAACCCACAAAATTTTGGGATTTCAGGACCTTTTATCCTGAATTTTTTCCCAGGATCTGCAGGAGAAGATGAAGGAGCTGCTGCCTCTGCTGCCGGTGCTGGAGCAATACAAATCCGACTCCAGGCTGATCGTGCACCTCA